GCCTGTGATTCCAGCTTCTTGGAAGGCTGAGGCGGAAGGATCGCCGGAGCCCAGCGGGTGGAGGCTGCGGTGGCCGGGAACATGCCACTGCACTCCAGCCCGGGCGACGGAGTGAGACTCCAACTCAAAAAAAAACAAAAAAAAAAGAGAGAGAAATGTGGCAATTATAATTCGTACAATACATAATTAAATCATGTCATTAAAAACCTCAAGCCTAGCCGGACTCGGTGGCTCAGCCTGTCATCTCGTGCTTTGGGAGGCCGAGGTGAGCGGATTGCCTGAGCCCGCGGGTTCGAGACCCGCCCGGGTACCTTGGCGAAACCTCATCTCTACAATAAATCAAAAATCAGCCGGGCGTGGTAGCGCGCGCCTGTAGTTCCAGCTACTTAGAAGGCTGAGGCGGAAGAATCGTCGGAGCCCAGCAGGCGAGGCTGCGGTGGCCGGGAGCGGCCACTGCACTGCAGTCTGGGAGACGGAGTAAGACTCCAACTCAAAAAAAATTTCTCCAACTCAAAAAAAAAAAAATCTCACTCCATCACCCAGGCTAGAGTGCAGTGGCACACCACGGACATCCCAGCGTCGACCTCTTGGGCTCCGACGATTCTTCCGCCTCAGCCTTCCAAGTACCCAGAACTACAGGAGCACGTATCATACCCGGCTAATTTTTTGATTTATTGTAGAGATGATGTCTCGCCAAGTTGCCAAGGCTGTTCTTGAACCCATGGACTCCAGCAATCCTCTCACCTCTGCCTCCCAAAGTGCTGGGATTATAGGCTTGAACCACCATGCCCAGCCCTATGAAGATTTTTTAAAAGAAGTAAAAATAGCCGGGCTCGGTGGCTCAGCCTGTAATCCTGCGCTTTGGGAGGCTGAGGTGAGTGAATTGCCTGAGCCCATGGGTTCGAGACCCACCTGGGCAACTTAGCCAGACCTCATCTCTACAATAAATCAAAAACGAGCCGGGCGTGGTAGCGCGTGCCTGTAGTTCCAGCTACTTGGAAGGCTGAGGCGGAAGGATCGCTGGAGCCCAGCAGGTCGAGGCTGCGGTGGCTGGGAGCAGCCACTGCACTCCAGTCTGGGTGACAGAGTGAGACTCCAACTCAAAAAAAAATAGACTTCAGAGCCTACCTCCAAACTATTGCCTCAGACTTTTTTTTTTTTTTTTTTGAGTAGGACACTGCAACCTCGACCTGCTGGGTTCAGGCAATCCTTCCTTGTCAGTCTTCCAAGTAACTGGAACCACAGCATGCACCATCACGCCTGGCTAATTTTTTGCTTGATTGTAGAGATGAGGTCTTGCCAAGTTGCCCAGGCTGGTCTCAAACCCCTGGACTTGGGCAATCCTCTTATCTCCACCACCCAAAGTGCTGGGATTATAGATGTGAGCCACCGCGCCTGGCTCTCAGACATTTCTTTTTTCTGAGTTGGAGTCTCACGCTCTCGCCCAGGGTGGAGTGCAGTAGCTCATTCACGGCCACCCCAGCATCTATCAACCTACTAGGCTCAGTCGATCCTTCTGCCTCACCCTTCCAAGTAACTGTAACTACAAGCATACACTACCACTCCCAGCTATTTTTTTATTTATTGTAGAGACAAGATCTTACCAAGTAGCCAGGCTCGGTGGCTCAGCCTGTAATCCTGCGCCTTTGAGAGGCTGAGGTGAGTGGATTGCCTGAGCCCGCGGGGTCAAGACCC